ATCCAGGAGTCTGCAGCAACCCGCCCTCCTGAAGGGACTCCGGCCTCCGTCTGCGGCTCCCTACAGCCGCTCTGCATTCCCCGCTCCGGAGGACAACCCGAACTCCCAGCCTGTGCCGTCTCTTGATGAGCTTGTCAGCTGAAGCAACTTTTGGCACCGCAGATGACAACCTTCTCATGGATGTGGCATAGACGCAGATGAGATGAGRAGACAACCCCCACGTGTAGATGGACATCTTGGCCAACGAGACTCGTTCTGTAAGGCCGATTTTGACGTGATGAGTCTCATGCATCTGCCCTCTTGAAGAAYTGAGGTTATGAAACCGGCTCTTTGTTCAGTGCTTGGCTATTGACTTCTGGGGGGCAAAGCAAAAAGCTGGTGCTGATAACAGGCAGGGCAACAGAGAAGGTGTCAAGGCACAACAAGTGCCTCTCTTCTACACGAGACGGTRTATAGACATCACATTGAGCATTTTGATTGGGCTACAGCTTTTGACCACTTTTGATTTGTTCCACAATCCCAACCCATGTACACAAAGAGTGAAWGATGAAATACACTATATTTAAAAGCAGCTTCCCAATAGCTTGTATCTGATATTGGAAGTCTCAGAGATCAACTCCTGATGCCTTAAAAATACCCACTGATTTTTTTTCATGTCTGCTATAAAATTTGTTGTGTAAACGTCACATTAAAAAGAAGAAAATGTAACTGTAACAAAGCTAATTTTATCTTAATAGGATATTAGGTTAAGWAGTTAAGAAAAATACCTTGAAAAATATAAAACCAAAGGAAGCTACACTTTAAAGCTCATTTATGCCTGTAACAGTAAAAATAACACTATTAGATTAATGCCTATTATCAGTCTCTAGACTCCAAGAGTAATAACAAATATAGCAAAGAATGGAGATTTGTGGTAAAAATCTTTTCAATAACTGTACAGAACAATCATTTGAGATTATTTTATAATGAATTTAGTATTTATATATAATACATATTCTTAAGGGTGGGTAAGATAAATGATTTTTTTACTATTAGTATTAGAGTTATCATCTTCAAAACGAGTGTTTATGAACATTTGAATTTGTATCCCAGAGTGTCTGCTGCGATTGAGAGACGGGACACAGCTTGATGCAAGCCAAGTGTCGATTTTATTGCTGTTACACACACGTTTATATAAATCAAAAGGTAGCGTGTCTTACGCAGATTGGGTGCTTCTTCAAATCAGGCTCCTTCATTGGTTAAATGCAAAAGCAGCTACAAGCAGGTTATAAAAAAGTACTGAGCAACAAACTAAGTCTTATCTACAAACCTAAAGCAGACTAAGTTTATYTACAACCTTGAAACAATACTCTCTTCTCCAGCTCCCTTTGGTCAGGATGATCCAGCCTTATGTTATTCTTCCCAGGGCTTGTGGCTGACAAGTTCCAGCACGTCTTGCTCCAACAGCGGCACTGTACTTAAGGCCCTGTCAAGGTTGGTCGAGTCCCGGCCCACAAGTGTCCAGGTCACRCAGTGTCTTACACAGCAGGGTCTTCTGGTTTTTGAACGCAGAAGCAAGCTCTGCTGTTACCGTAGGGCAGAAAGAGGCTGATGGGAAGAAGTTGCAGCAAGGGWTTTTGTTGGTACGTGTAACCTCTGTGTCCAGAGCCTGTTCTGGGTGCGTTCCCAAGAGCTGGGCACTGCAGGGCTGTTTCTGKAAGAGATTCCCACCTGGGAACTCTCTGGATCATGTTCCTGCCACCTGTGCCAGTTTGGAGCAAGGACCTTGCACCTAGCTACAGTTTGGAGCTAGGACGCGCTGTCCAAACGAATCAGCAAGACTCCCTCTCCCATTAGTGGCATGTCTACATAGTGATCATCTTGTTCAAGTACCTGTCTTTGAAAAGAACCAAATCAACACTGAACGTGTCCTCCACAGACCAACAGAGGAAGCCTGGACAGGCCTGCTCCATTTGGATGGCTACTGTTTACAYGACTGGAGTTGAGAGAGATCAGTTCTGTCCCATGTGCCTTATGCACAGCCATCTCTAGTGGGTATATATTCTGCAAAATCCAACGCCAGAGAAAAAGTATTATGCACGTTATCCATGGTCATGCAGTGTAGCCAGGTTGTGTGCCGGAGATCCTAGTTGCCAGGGAGTCTATTCCTGTCGTCCCAAGTCTCCCTCTGAAACCAAAAGGATGGCAAAGGATGATAAAACCGCCCCTATCCAAGCGGTTAGAGGCGGCAGAGGGCTCCTGAACGGAGGCTGCTCTAAGAACATCAAGGCTGCATTGGCAAGAGAGCCTTTCCAGGGGCTGCCTGCAGAGCACGAGGCACAAGGGAAGGGAGGCCTTGGCACCTTGCATTGCAGTGAGAATAAAAATGCAGCATTGCAAGTGCCCATACGTACTGCATATAGGGCAGAATGTAAGTGGTGCAGCCTGAGTTGCTTGAAAACACGAGCCAAGAAGTGAGCAGTTTGCAGAGCACTCCCGTTTTGCTCTCCCGTGCGAGACCTGTGCTTATGATCTAATCTGTTCATGTTCTTAAATCTGACCTTTCAGCTCCGCTCCTTGGGTGCGTTTGGCCCAACGCGCTCCCCGTGCCGGGCCTGCCATGCCCAAGGAACCCRGGAGCCGGGATGCGAGATGTCTGCCTGGGCCACGCTGACCTTCCCTTCCCTTGCCTCAGGCGCTGCCGTGGAGCTCTGCGGAATTAGAGCTGACACTCCAGCCTCACCCGAATCATTTTGTTCCTGCGTCTCTCCTGTCAATGGGAATTAGCAGACTACAGTAAGAACGTGAAATGTGTCCCCTGTCTAACGCAAAACTAAGATTAATGCCACGTTTCATGAGGATTGCAGTATTGCTTTCCTCTTCGGCTGTTTGAAAGATGTGCAAGAACATGGAAAACAGACTGAAACCCCCAGCAGAGACCATTTATTCCCTCCTGTGCCATCTGCATGAGGGAAAGGCCTTGTTCGTGCATCTAATTTCAAAATGGAAATGACCACACTGGGGAAGAGCATCGGTGTCGCCAAAGCAGTGATGTAAAAGGCATAAGGAAAGAACCTGGGAAAAGCAGGAGCTGGGGGTTTTCTCCTTGTGCCCGTGTCGCAGACCGTTCTGTCTGTTCCGGAGGGAAGTGGGATCCATGGAGTGGTCCACAGGCCCTGTCCCTGGCGAGGAGGCCTCCCAGAGCACATGGCTCCTGTCTTGCCTGAACTCAGCACCTCACTTCTCTTGGAAACCAAACACACGTTTACTGACATAACAGCAAGTATTTTTAAATGGTGAAAAAATACTGAAAAAAATCATTTTATTCTCATTTTATTTTTGGAAGAGCTTTATGTAACATTTTTTAATATTTACAGCGATTGTCTTCTTGGTTTTCATCAGTATGTTAAAGGGCAGCATAGGGCTAGGATGTCCACATCTCTTAAGTCTTTTAAGTTTCATTCCAAACTTTTCCTCTCTAAAACAAAAATATTTTTCCTGCTTCTTTGTGAGAAATTCAACTCGTCATCAATTAACATATTTGCATAAACATTTTTTGAACATTAAACTAAATGCTGAAGGAATAATATTCCCAGTGTACAGTCCAAAGTATAATAAATAATGCATAGTTTAAAAAAGCTGACATATTTATAATTTAAAATTTAAAAAATCACATTTGATTAAAACAACATTTCACTCAGCTTTTAAACAACTTCTAGAAATCCTCTTTTCTCTTCTTTGCACTGGATATGGGTAATGACCAGGGATCACCTGGTGTCCTGAAAGAAATTCCTAACTTCCTTTCAGCTGAAAAACTGAAGAATTTTCAAGAATGTCACAGGGAATCTTAAATGCTGCAGAAGGAAAATCTTGTTGCACCAACGACAAAGAAAGAGCAAGTGCTAATTAGGGTGACCGGAGTGACACCTACRCATGGGGTGGCATCTGCATCACTTGGACCAAGCAGGGGGTGCACGCAGGAGATTGTTGAGCACAATGATACTCGTGCCCTTTGATTTCACCAATTTGATATGGCAGAAACCAATTGATTATGATTTAACAAGAGCTGCTGACTGAACACTCCGAGCAGAATAATCTATTATTTCTCCCTTTGTCCAAAGCTCAACCAATTTGTCCTACATTTTACAAAGAAGCAATTTTCTTTTTGTCTCTTGGAAAATAAAATAGGTTTCCTCAGTGATGCCCTTTCCTCTTCAATAAATATATGTGGCCGCAATTGCTTTATACAATAAATCAGGTGTGGAGCTGACAAGTGGGAAAGCTCTTTGTTCTTCCATCTTACAAAGCTCCCGTTCTGGTCTTAGGAAGGGTCATCGTTAGGTTTTTTAATTTGGGAATTGACAGGCCCCTAACAGAACACTGGTACAAGTTTGCTTTGGCAGAGCAGACTGTCCGAGCCCGGTATCATTGCACACCAGGAGCTCTCACCCACTCCTGCACAACCCAGGAGCTCAGAGGCTCCACAGAAGACAGGTCGGAACGTTACACGCTACTTTCTTCTGAGGATCATCTTGGAGACCCTCAGCAGCGACCTGGAGGCTCCTCCCGCCTAGGGCTGACAGCGTGAGGGACTCAACCAGCGCCGCAGGCAGCACACGGTGGGAGGTGGCGCCAGTACCTGCTCAGGTGGCCCTTGTCGAAACCTGCTGCTCCCCTTCATTCGTTCCCTGAAGGGAGAACTTTGTCCTGGAGAAGTGCTGCCTCATCCCAAAGTGTGATGAGGCCACTGAAATCTCCCACGTTGAAATGAGCAGGGGAACTGTTGCTGCTCTTTGCTCTGGTCTACTTCAGTCTTTGCCTGTTTCCAGAAGGGGTTCCTGAGGAGCAGTGCTTAAACTTAAGGAAAACTAAACCAGGACAAGTTGTAAATAATTCAGTCTTATTCTCTCATCCAATTTAGACAGTGGACAAACCATTTAAGGCAGAGTGTGCCAAAAGGTGAGGATTATTGGTATTCCCTGGGAAGTCACAATGTTGTGGAGGATATAAACTTGGCTCTAGCTATTTGGAAAACAGTATTTTAGCTATTACACGTGAAAATGTCTACTACTTTCATGCACAGAAAACGTACTCTCATCATGGCTGACTTCCTCTGATAAAAAGTTTCACAAACATTTGTTTTCCTGTTTCCTCRGAAGTCCCAACATGTGCTACAGACACGCTGCCTGGCAGTCAGCTGTTCCAGGGCAAACTCTCTTCACTAACAGCAGAGCTGAGAATCTGTTGCCACTCAAAGCATCTTATCTCCCTGCTTCACAGAACGAATGGCAATTGTAGCTAGAGTCAAGCAATGCAGGAATTTGCAGCAAGTATCTCAGCCAGGCTTCCTAAGGAGACATCTCCCTAACTTCCCTGCAAACTAGAGCAGATGCCAACATCCTTAGTTTCCATGCTGGAAATGTGTCATCTTAAATCCCCAGAAAAAGTAATGCTAAATTTTGGAGACTTGATCTCTTGCTCAGAGACCTGTTGGTCATCTCTCCTGTGGCATGTGGGACTGTTCAAATTGCCACAGCTGATGGGAACTCTTGTTACATGCACCCAAAACCAAGTCCTTTCCRTCTTCGCTCGTCGCTGCCTCTATGCATTTGCCAGAAAGGACATGGACAATCATTCCGTTCTATAAAGTGAGAGAAGGGAAAGAAAGAACAAAATATAAGGGATTTCCAATAAAAACTAGGCCATGATTCCAAAACTTTGTTAATGCACAATAGGTTGTCAGTAATGATGGGTTGTTCAAGATTTATCAACTATTGCAGTAAAAGTGGAGCCAGCCTCTTCCCCAACACAAAAGAAGTGGGCAGGGGTTTGTCCAGCTCCTGCTGCTTCACTCTGATTCTCCTCTTACAAGGTAAGTTAGATAAAAGGTTCAGTCAAGGGCAGGGGAATTTACGCAGCACTTTTACAAATTACAAAATTGACGTAATTTTACAAATTACAAAATGTAATTTGCATTTTTAAACCCAAAGTATTTTGCRCATGCAACGTAAACGGGCAAACAGCACCCTAAATTCCTGGGTGCAAATGCTACCGAAGGGAAACTCGCCCTTCAAGTATCCCAGCTCCACAGACGAGTCCCGTGGATCTCCTGGGGATCCCACCCCCAGGTGCCCTYCCCTCGGAGCGGAGCCGCTACCAACCTGCTGGACATCCCAGCGCTGCTGGCTGCTGCCTGGCTCTTCCGTGCAGTTCTGAGGGATAACGCGCCCCTGGCTGACACCGAAGCAGAAGAGCGGAGCCGAGCCCAGACGGATTTCTTTCATGCTGTTATATTCAAAGAGCTGCAAAAGGGAGCTGTTGTTGGAACAGTTTGAAGGACATCCCGGCTCATTTTCAAACGCTCGTTCCCCAAATAGTTTCCTGTTCCTGTTGGTTACAATGCAACTCAAACGTGAATAAAGGAGATGTAACAGGCCCAATCGTGTTGCAAAGCTCTCCTCCCATAAATAAACCTGGCAAAACTGTTTATCTGAGACTATTTTTCTGCGTGAAGGCTTATGGACTGCAATTACATATGAAGTCAGCCCATCATACAAGAAAATGTTTCAGTCTAATAAATATTTGAACTGGAGAATGTTTCTGACAGGGCCTGCACACGCTGCAGTTAGCAAGGGTGGCCAGCAAAATGTTCTTGGGACTTCGAACACATCTCTGCAGTCAGGCTGCTCTCAGGGCTTTGTGAACTTGCTGGTCTAACACCAGCTTGGGACTCAGCATGAAATCCCCTTCTACCTTTGCGTTAGAATACGGGGAAACCCATCCCTGCTACTCTAGAATTGGGATATACTTCTTTATATTCTCCAGACTTTATGTCCTCCAGACATTAGCAAATACACTATTAAACAGACACTTATCGATGTAGCAAAGTGTGTTGATGGGGACAGAGCCAGCCATGGAGCACTGTCACCTTCCCACGAGGTTCAGATGCAGAGAGGTGGGACATGGCTGCGCTGGCATGTGCCTCATGCTGAACACATCAATACTCCCACTAGTGTCAGCCCAACCTTTCACACATTGCAGGGACCACCTTCCTGAAGGGATCCCTCTGTCCTCCTAAACACTGTCCCTCTACAATTGAAAGGGGTAGTACCTGGGTGAGACTGTCACTGCAAGGGGAGAGCTCAATAGAGCCTTCTTCAACGGCCCTTCCAGGTCTGTAATTTGCACAGGAGCCAACGCCAGCATTATAAAGCTGTAAATAAATGTTTATACTGAAATGAAGCTCAATCAGATACAAGGAGAACATGCTTCAGCTAACTTTCTGTGGGTTTATGCTTATGTGATATATGTTTTTGTTTGGAACTCCGGYCCTAGGGCCTTTCCTTCAGACTAGATTTTGCACATCCACCTTGCACAGTCATCTGGCACACAAGGGAGAGGCCCCTGAAGGACAGTTTTGCCCAGTGAGTTTTGACTGAATTAGACTTCTGGCCTGAACTATCACAATAGTGATAAAATAAATCTCTGGAAGCTTCATAATAAACAAGAGACGAAAAGGAGATGGTAAAACATGATATCAAATATTAACCAGTGGACCTTCCTGCATTTTGAGAGGGAAATCCTCAAGGAATACATTCACAATTCAATGGGTGATAAATTTCAACTTGAATGTTAAATAAGAAGCATAAAATACCACCTTCTGGACACAAGGAACTGCCAAGGAACTGCTCTTGCTACCTCTTCCACACCTAGGGGAACAGAAGGGCTGGACAAATGCTACGCACATGGGTCAGCACAGGGCTCATCTCAGCTGTTTGCATGGGGTAAACAATTCCTTGTCTTTCCCGAAGAAGCTGACACTGCCCCTACAGAACCTACAGAACCTACAGAACCTACAGAACAGGGGGATCCTCTGATCGGTGGTACTGAATTGAGCCAGATTATCTGAGTGCAGCTCCCAGCTGGACTGCTGAGTTTATGGGAGAATTTGCACCAGCTCTTTGACTCCTCTCCCTCTGTTCCTCCTCCCATCCTTGCTGGGTGTCCTGTTTGGATGACAAACTTTCTGAAGCTGCTGCACCCTCTTACTGTGTGCTCACAGCATTCAATACAGCATTTAAACAAGGCAGAAACACTGAGCAATCCCTACAATGTGTTTTCTCTTACCTTGCCAGAGAATTTTAGCATGTCTTCAGGTTGGGAGAGCTCAGGATACACATTTGATATAAACCAATGGAAATTTCTACAGCCCAGTCTCTTCTGTAGCTGCAGGCGCTCGCTGCAGTCTGGCTTCTCTGCCTTGATGAAAGCACAGGGCAATGAACAGGGTTACCAGGGCATTTGTGTTAAAAATAAGAGAGGACGACAGAGGAATTATTTCCACCTCCTCTTCTATCTCACATGTTACAGATATTGATATGTATCTCACATGGTTACACAGTGCAAGAGGACCAGCTTTATAGCCTCTAATTTGTGCTAGAAGAGCATCTAGTCTCAAAGTGCCAGGGAGGTAAAGGTTTCAGAGGTAGCACACCCAAGGCAAATCCTGCAAGATAAAGCAGTCCCTGTCATCAGGGCAAGTTTGATAACAGTCAGGCTCTAATCAGTGGGATTTCATTAGCTTATARTTCAGTATAGAATTATTGATTAAAACTGAACTTCCTGGAGTTTAGCAGTCCAAATTCCTCAGTTCCTGCCAGACCTCCATGACCAGAGGATGCAAATGAAGGCAGTATTTGGCCAACATAAAGCCTACTAGATTATTATCTAACAACTACTAAATAAAGGCATGTGAATATGTTTGGTGTCAATAGAGGTATAACAACAATCCTATGGTTCCTGTGTTTTATTAAATTATTTACAGACAATCCCAACTCTCATCCTCCTTGATAGCAACTCTGTTCAGAGCAAAGGCAAGTATCTTCAACCCTTCCTGCAGAAATGGGTATCTGCACTCCAAAGGACTGAGGGCCTGAACAGTTAAAACTATTTAACTAAAACTGTTTAACATCTAAAAACACCTAACAGGATTCTGAAAATCACCTAATGCAGGTAAGTAAATGTCTAATTCCCTTGTTTTCCAWACCACAGAAAACACTTTTCTGAATCTCAGTGCCCAAATATCAAGAAAACCAGCACCCTTCAGAGCTTCTTTACCCTTTCTCATGCAGCAATTGATCTCCTCCTTAGCACTTCTAAATGGCAGTTTCTGATGCCAGGACCCTAGTCCAGATTCCTATGTCAGAAATTAAAATCGGTAGCATTAGAAAGGAATCACCTATGAAGAACCTCCTCAAACCAGCTAAGAAAAGAAAAAGGCTTTCGTAGGGCCTGGAAAACACGGACAAGCAGAAGAGCAGGGAGATGGAGGGTGAGACCCCAGTTTCTGGAGCTGGGCTCCTGACACGTGGCACTGTTTGCCGGCCTCCAGAAGGTGCCTGGCCAAACCTCCCCAGGTGCTGCACATCCGTGGGAGCCTCACGGGCCAGTGTGAGCCTGGCTGCAAGGGGCCTGACAGCAAAGCTCAGCAATCCAGCACCACACAAGCCTGGCCCCAAGAGGCTTCTTTGGAAGAAGGCAGGAGTCAAGTGCTTCTCCYGGAAAGAGGTGCTTCTCCTGAGACTTTGCTTTGGTTAAAGAAGACTCATTTGGTCGTAGCAGTTACATTCTGTATTTGGAGGCAAATAGAAAGTGTAAAGAAAGAAAGTCAYTTTTTTTAAAGCAATGTGAGAGGAAGCTCCACTAGTAAATTAAATAAGCAAATGACACACACACACGCACAAAAGAAACAGGAAGAGTAGCTGAAATAATAAGAGTAGTTGAAATAATAAGAAGCTGTAAAGAGCCTTATTCATCTGTATTAACGCTCACACCACAGGCATCCTGTGCAGGATGCAATTCCGAGCGTGACATGGGATATTTACGGAGCAATCTAAATGTGGGTCTTTTTTTTGTGTTCAGCACTGGGTGATGCAGAGGACCAAGCAGCTCTCGGGGATTTCTGTAGTGGCCCCGCTCACCCTGTCCTTGCACTAAATCCCCGCCGGCTCAGGGGCAGCAATGGCCCTTGAGCCACAATAATGTCACTGATCGTGTCCTTTGAATGACATCCCACTGCACTGACAGGCTCAAAAACGGGCTGTGAAAGAAAGACACAGACAAAGGGGCCCTTTATGCTATGGTAAGCTGAACATAAAGACTGAAAGATCCACCAACGGAAGGAGCATCGTATTTACGGCAAGCGTTCTGGGTTGAAAAAATTCTCAGGCAAAAGGCCATGGTACTTAAAGTTAGTAAATTGTAACGTTGAAGACTATAGTTTCTTAATTCAGAAAATGGCTACTGAGTTGTCAAGAAAGGCCTTCAGGAAATTATCCAACGAATTAAGGACCTAAACTGCCCTTCCTAATAGACTCGGCCTTGTGCTCTCCTTTCAGCTGCATGGCTGCAACGATGGAGAGAGTTAATGATGGACTTCTGGCCAGCACAATACAAACCCCCAGCATGAACATGGAGGGAAAGGCCTTCTGAAAAATGAAAGCTGAATTTTAAAAATGATTGTGACAGTCTTGGGCTCCAGGAATAGCACAGTGGGCTGACTGGAGAGGCAGATTTTCTGGTGAATTTACAGATTTGCAGTGCTGAAGCACAGCCCTTTCCYTCTCCTCCCGAGAACTTGGTTCCTGCTGCATCTTGGCTCTCCCAGACCCTGCTCTGCAATGACTGGGGCATTCAGGACTGAAATGCAGGAGCAAAACAGAACAGGAAACTGTGCCCAGCACCTACCCATGTTCTCTGTGTCTCTTTTCCCCTTCTAATACATGTCATTGTTCAATGATCGGCYGCATGAATGACTGCTTTYTATTTTTCATTCAAAACTGACTTGTTTTGAATGAAWAAAAAAGCAGTCATTGCTTTTAAATTTGTTCATTGCTTGCGGAAGGGGATATTGCTACAACAAAAGGCACCAGAGCCTGTGAACTGCAGCACTGCTAACAGCCTTGCTGCCTAGCACTGAATAAACAAATATCCACTAGCTTTCAACACATCAGAAACCCACTCTCTGGACTGACCTTGATCTGCTGTGGGTTGCACAGTAGCCTGGAAGCCAGGGGGACTGGTTCTGCAGCTGCCACGTGGAGCGTAGCCTAAAGGGGCTTCACGTGTGGCTGCATGAATCATATGCCTGGCTGTTGACTGAGTTAGCGTACGGACTGCTGGGCACTGCAGCCCCGGAGGCTGGGCTGCTCTCTGGGTGATGCTCTAACGAGAGAGCATCATCATARTCTTGTAAGCAGATTATGGTGAGGTCTGACTTGCCGAATTACAGGCAGCTGCTCCTGGACCTCTGTCAGTTTCGGAAGAAATCACGTCACTTGTCACCAGACCACTCAGATATGTCAACAGGAGGGACATCACAGCTTGCCRCATGCCGATGGATATTACTTGCTTTACATGATGAAGACATTTCAGCAATGAGGAATGAATCTTCAAAGAGGCGCTTTTGAGCATTCACTGCTAGTATATTCCATGTGGGATGAGCTGCTTCCCCCCACATAGCAGTAATGGAAAATAAAGCACATTTTGTTGAGCAATCTGAAGAAGTCATTTGGTGAAGGAGTGATATTCAACGTGTGAGATTTGACAGCTCCTGCAAACAACCCTGAGGCACAGGTTTCTCTGTTTCTTTGCTGACCTAACAGCTCCCTCACTGGAAAGTTTCATAAAAAGGAAAATCTGTCCCCAGAACCACTTACAATAAGTGGTTTGACTGTACACAGACTCCCTCCCTCTCATTTCCACCCCCTCTACCTACCTCCATACACACTTCCACTCTCAGAAACAGACCATTACAGATGTCTTTACCTTGCTGATCAAGAAAGCCACCGTGTTATGGTTGTAGAAATTCTCTTTAAAAGAACCCAGCCAGGTCTCTGCTATCCGGATTTTGTTCCTCACCAGGGCCTCTTCRTAGGAGAGAGCTCGGGGAAAGTGGTTTTGATAGACATGGCCAACACGGGAGCACGGAATGATTTCCACAGAGCCACCACAGAGCCACGTCTGAAACAGCAGAAGGCAAAACAAGGGATTGCCTGCAGGTGGTAAAGCACAACTAGCAGCACTGAATAATAGACCAGCAATTTACAGAGTGCACAGCAAAATGAAAGTCACTCATTGGGCCAAACCCTTCTCTGGGCAGCAGCCAGACATTTATACTCTGTTCAAAAGCAGCTRCAAAGAAGCAGCCCCTTTATTTTATTCCTCCCTCTCCCCAGTACAATTATTCTGATTTAACAAAACTATAGACTTAATCTCAGGAAATCCTAGTATAGAATCCTAGGCTAGAAACAGAAAGAGCATCATTATGCTCTGTGCTTCTTCATACACTGTCCTCCAGCATCTACCATTGGAGAACAAAAACACAGAGAAGATCCTGGGCAACACAGACCTTTGGTTTGACCCAGCGTGGCCATCTGTATGCTCTCATATTTTCATGTGCACAAACAGTGCAGTGTGGTGCAGACACTTGAAGGTGTATCTATCTTTTCCATAGAATATCAAAGGTGTTATAACCTTTGTGTTTTAGGTTTTCATTGCTTTTTAATATCATTCTTTTTATTCAGCCCAGTTTAATGCAAATCATTTAATATAAAGCACTTCATATTAAAATTATATGTTGGCTGAGAAATAAGAGCATTTACTACTTTAGCTTTGGTGCATGTTATAYATACAAAATAGAAGAGACAACTTTCAGCAGGTGCCAAAACCAGTGACTCTGTCCTCAGGCAGGCTGCCACTGCCAGAGAACCTTCATTCTCCTGACACGATGCTACAGGTTTGTACAATCATGTCAGATCAAGGAGTATGGGGACACAAATCTGTGATTTTCTCCTTTCTCCAAAAAGTTTTGCTCCTAATTGCTATTTGAYGTTTCTTCTCTCCTTTACACATTCAAGGACCCTAAAAGCAGTAGTCACCGGCCCTGATGTTTTATTTATTTATATATGTCTTACCCTTATAGATAACTCTAGATTTTCTGCACCCCACAAGGTCATGTCAGAATCATAMGCTCCTGTGTTTTGGAAGTAATGTCGATCCACGGCCACTACTGCACCAGCAACCACGGGACTCCTGAGTAGAAAACAGTTTAGAATTAAACATCTTCTGCTTTGGAAACAGAGTTAAGGAGGATGAATATCTCACCATTTCCGTGAGAGAGACAGTATTGCAAAATGATGGAATGCTACTTTGTCTAAACCTGAGTGAACTGATTGATTATCTAAACAAACGAAAGAACATCTGGAAAAGAATTCTAGGATTTGCCCGGGGAAGAGAGACAAGAGCTGAATCGTTGAATAAAGCTCCAAGTGTAGRACATCCAAACTGTTACATAACTGTACATCCAAAACAAAACACTGGCACGTAATGATTAAGACACCTCTTTTAATTCATATGATCCATCTTTTGCTTTCCCTCCATGTCATATCAATACGGGTCGACTCAATGTCTGGAAAATATTTGACATGACGTAAGTATAACTGAAATCTAATTAGAGTGATTACTAAAGGCCAAATAAACTCAACGTGAACAAAAGCCTGTCCTTTCACAGAACATTGAGTAAATCAAGCAGCCCCATCTCTCATCAGCTAGCTGGAAGATGACCCAGTTTACAGCAGTACTGTTGAGCTGAAAGGAAGGACGCTGGCCGAAGAACTGTTACCTGATAGGGCTGATGGGAGACGCTCGTACCTTCTCCTCATGATCTGGCACTGCTTCCCAATGGAAATCTAGATTCCAGTCAAAGACACCTCGATGYAGACCCGCAGAGTGATAGTACTGAAAAGTCTTCCAGTCTATGACATCTATGACCGGGGAGACGACACTGTTTCTGAAAAAGACAGTGTTGTTTCTTTTAAAAGCCAAAGCACAGATCAAGTTCAYGTCTCTGTTAGAAAAATGGTAACTCCCTGTTTTGATCCTGTCAGGTACAAGCCTTCCTGTMGATGTTGAATGCCCTCATCTCCACTGCTGAGAGAAGCCTGATGTTCACCGAGCCTGTGAGGTTTCCAAAACTTGCTCATTTTTTGATGACCTATAATCAACACATTGTCATTTCAGAGCTATTCAGGATTTTACTCTGAGTAAACCACTAGAATTCCCAAAAAGCTATTTCACGTAGAGGCATGAGCCTAGTTATAGGGTCCATAGAGATGCTAAGTCCATCACAAAAGATGATTTCMGCCACACAGAGCTCACCAACCTTCATTTTTGCCCTAGGTGTTCCACACCAGTTGATGGATTAGTATCTTTAGGGCAATGAAGAGTGCATGTGCACTTTGTTTTGTGGTCACTTTGAAAAAAAAATTATCAATGAGGTTATAAAAGCTTTTTAATTTTTGTATTCTCTTTTATCACATGATTAAGCTGCCCTTGCAAATGCACTGTCACAGTTTGAGATCTACGCAACTGTCACAGTGTGAGATCTACTTTAAAGAGACAAAACAGAACCATTGCAATGTGAACAACAATATTTCAAATCCTCTCTATCTCCAGTTAAATTTGGATGGATCTGAGAACAGGTATTTGTGTTTCCCCATGGCAAACGTCATGATATTTCACAGTGTGGTTGTACATCCTGGAATTACTGGTAATTGAGAAGAGCTGCCAGGCTTCCTTGTTTCCAGGTCAATAATGTATCATGTCTGGACATTTTCAGAGGATAAATGAAATTATATTAGAGATTTCAAGAAAAAAAATGTTTTGAAGAGCAACATTATCTTTTTCTGCTCTATTATGCACAATGTATAGTCTGCTGTTTCTGTAGGAGTATTGCCTCAAGGGAAAAGGTATTTTGGAACAAAATCACTAAAAATTACTGGGGATTAACTACCCTGGAAAAAAAATCTTTTATACTATTATAAGGGTATGTATACAAGAAATTATTCTAGATTGGTTCTTTTCCTAGAAAATATCTTCCTATTACATATAGAGAAGAAATGGTCCATTTTGGGGTATAAAGCAGAATGTTTTGCCCTCTCTCTCTTTTAAAGGTTTCTATGTACTGGTCAAGGCTCACTCTTGTGATAGAGGCTTAAACATACTACAATCAATGGAGTCTTAGAAGTCTTCAGCTGAATGAGCTATTTGTCTTTTTCCATGGTRGAGACCAGCAGCAGCTGTGGAAACTGGCAGCTCTGGGTGATGTTCATATGACGCTGACTTGTCTTCTCTGCCTTTAAAACAAATTAGAGTATTTTTTATTATTCAGTGACAAGGGCAGGGGAAGATTCACAACTGTGTTCTATCACAGGTGCCATTTTGTGAGCCTCGTGCAGGAAAAGAAACTGCTGGTTTTCCCTGAACTGCATGAAATGTATTCGAAATATCCAGAGGATATAGCTAAAATGACTCAGTTATTCCTCTGTTTTSTAATAAGAGCAGACAGACTCTCCTATGATGAACTAAAGGCAGAAAGATTTAGAACAAAGAAGTGATTATATTTCTCCACTCAGGTATAAAGCCAGTCTTTATAATATGTAATAACGAGAGCTCTTAGAAACAAGCACTGGGTTTATAAATAGATGAGACAATTTTATGGCCAACTGTAATATTTGCAGGCATATATATTAAGGCAGTGATTTGCTGTCATTCTTCTACAGAATTCAAGAAAAAAAATGCAATGAAATGATACTAAAAATAATAAAGTTAAAATTAYCAGATTGTTGTGATGATATCCTGTGATACATTCTTTTTTTATCTAGTACAGGAGGAACTACATCTAATTCAAGCTACAGGTATCTTTCTAATGAAAACTATATTTAACCTTTATTCACTGAGAACAGCAGGGAAAAGGAACTAACTATTCTAGAAGTTACTAAAAGATACTGTCCTGATGGACTTACTTAGGTTYTGACTCACAAAGCAGTATTTTTCTTTGATCTGCTGAGAAAAATCCAGCTGAGGCTAAAAATTTGAATGGATTTTATATGACTGAACTTCTGAAAATGAAAAAAATCACTGTAACTGGACTACCTACATCCAGCGGTATCTTCCATCTTCCAGGCTGCTGTCTGATCAGGAGCRTGCTTGGAGCTCAGTACTTGCCACTCTCAGTTTGTTGCTATTTGATGAAGGGTAAGTTAATTTACTGCTCCTTGTCTATCCACTCTCATCCAGACAGGACTGAGGAACTAATGAGCCCACGGTCAGTTATTTCAGAATTCCACAGCAAAGAGGGAAAGATTAGGAGGAGGTGTCTGAACTGAAGCCAGAGGAGGCACTGTTGAATAAACCATTTGAAAAGGTTGGGCGGTGAAGACTAAACCTTTATTTTGTTTTTTTAGTGAAGACTAATCTTTTTTTTAGTGAAGACTAAACTAAGCTTATTTCCAAGATAGTTCAGATGGAAACAATAGGAATGTGCAGAGTTATGCTCAGAAAGATCCAGGACCTGATGACTCATTATCTCCTGYATTTTCATATCCAGCCATGTAAGTTCTGTCCTTTTTGGGTCCACCATACATTTGTTGTCGATCTAAAACTCCAAACTCCATTGACACTTTCAGCATCAGTGCAAGTACTCATTAAACAGTACAGCAGTAGTTCTTGCTGAAATGACCCCTAGTTTTTATTGTATGCCTTTGCTTTACTTTTTATTGTGCATGAGTATTCATGCTATTCAAGAAAAGTACCTGCAGAGATGTCCTGGATTCAGCTGGAGACTAAGCAATTACTGTATGCAAACTATCTGCAAACAAACGTCCCCAGCCTCTGCAGCAGCTTAGGAATTCTGCAATTTTCATTACCTAATCTCTTAGCTGATGTGAAGGCAGGAGAGAAAGCAGGGCTGTATAAAATGGTCTAACAGCGGAAGATTCTGAAACTGTAGAGCTGCGCCTTCTTAAAGCTTCAAATATTGTCTCTTTCTGATCTGAAATAGAGGAATCCAGTAACTTCAGCTTTTGTGAAAACTGGTCAATACATGACTTTTATCTTAATCAAGTGGTGCTTTAAATATCTTTTTCTATTGAGGCTTCTTTTATACTGTTTATTGCATGTTTAGTGATGAGTTTGGTATTTGTGAGGCTCAAAATGCAAATTTGCAGCAGAAGTTAACTGAGAGTTGGAAGATGGTCTTAACTGTTCTTTTTGTTTTTAGCTCAGGCAACTGGCAGGCAGACCAGCAGCTTCGCAGCACTTTGAAATGAAACACTCCTGGCAAACTACTGCTAATTTTGCTACGTGGAATCCTAGGAAAGAAAAAGGACAGGAAACGCAAAAACATTTGGCAGCAAAGATTTGAACTATTTGACTGTGGTAATGTTAATCTGTGAATATTTCAAATGCTTGGAACACACAGGAWCTACAAAAGGTCACAGTTCCATGAAAAAAGAGCAACCCAAACAAGAATAATTTCCTGCTTTAGGATGTCTCAAATTCAGTTGCAACTGAAATCCCTTCTCATGACCCTTTACAGGCATCATGGACATTRTGTTCTTTTCTATTTTTAGAATAAGTAACATGAGGAGAGGAATTGTTAATTAACACATCTGTTTTGAAATTTTAGATACACTCTTGGGGAAGTGCTTTTTGTTGATTTTTTCTTCATTTTGTTGGGAAGGCAGACTTTAATCTTTTTAAGTCCTCCTTTATACAAGGAGGAACAACAAAAACAAATATAAAAATGCCCTATTTTCTTCAACCAGTTTTACAGTAGGTCTTTCTTTGCAAGAATAATACAGCTGAGAAACCCAGACACACTCTGAGTTCTCTTGCTCTGCACATCGTCAAAGCATCGTCAGAATTCCAAGTTGGGTCCACAGCATGTTGCATTTTCCCTGAACTGCCTTGCTGGCTGAGGTTTTGGGTGAAATAATGCTGCAGAATATTTGAAATTAATAAAAAATTAGTGAAATTAATGAAAAGAGAAGATGCAGTGATCAGAAATGTCTAGAGGATTACTTAAATATAGCCTAAAGACTAACTCCTGACTAACTCATGGCACATGAACAGTCTTTTTTAATAGATGGCATTAGTCACGTGCTAAATACTAAACATGTGCTTCAAACCTCTGCTAGATAGAGTCCTACGTGAATATTTTCTGAAAATCCTTTTGAACATGTCTTTTATATTCAAATTTATATGTGGGGTATGAAATTACCCAAAAGTCCCCATTGGCCTTATTTCTAGGTTTGCTGGAAACTGCAAACCACTAACAGCTTTTAAAAGTAGACAGCTTGGACTCTGTGCCATGAACCCATGCCCAAACACTCGCTGCTCATTCTTCTGGCAGCAACGTTTGCTTTTGCCTTTAGTTTCTCCAGTTTCTTCACCGTAGGTTCTTGAAAATAGGTCATCTGCTGATGCTGATCAGCTGTGAAAGATTATACAGAGGTATGGAAGCTTTCAGCTATCTTACCACAGCAGTGCAGACCATTACCTAGCAGAATCTGAAGTATTATTGACAAATGGGGGACACAAAAATATCAGGCAGAGAGAGAAGTTCCAGGAAGAAGGCTCTTCTATGTGATATAAAAGGCAGATTTTCAAAACCAGGAGAGTAGCTCAGATGCTCAGATGCTGAGATTGGGTGGGCTTGGGACAGACAACATCCTGCTTACCTAGGTCTGTGAGAAGGCAGAGAGCAGYTGGCTTTTGTGCTTATTATCTGGCAGCTTGAAAGTCCGGGATATGAAGGGGTGCCAGAGGACACCTCTGTGTATGGATCAGAGGAGTCAGATGAAGAGATGTAGGAACTGTTCTACTCTACTCTTATTCCATTTAACAGCATTTTTGATAAAGCTTTGTGAGCTAAGTGAGGGCACTTTGACTTAAGAAACTTGGCTTCTTTTTTAAGAAGATTGCCTTCTTTTAATAAAATCACAGACTTCAGTGTCCTAATGCAATATTTGAGCAAAGGTGTTCACAGTGCACAAGCCCAGAGGGAAATCCTTGCAACAAGGAGCAGGGAAAAGGGCCTGAGAGGAAGCTGTCCCTTCGCAAGTCATCTCTGTGGTACAAGTTAGGGTGACCATACCTTTCCACGGTAGATTTTCTTTTCAAAGATATAAGCAAGGATCACTTTGTCTTCACACAGTATTCTCAGGAATCACCCTCTGGACTTTTCTATTAAAAATCATCCTGCTGCAAAACTAGGGCCATACTCACCAGCACTYTGGTCATTATTTTTAGGTTAAAGCAATAACCTTCTCACAGCTTCATGTATTAGTTCTGTATATGTCCCCTCTGTCTTGCCCTTGAACTGAAGACAAAACAGCACCTGCCTCAAACAGCCTCCTGGAAAGGGCAAACCYTACAAAAGATGATTTCACTAATGCCATAGTTGCATTCCTGGGCACCACGCTACTCACTTGGAGTCAGCCAGGAACACAAACAGCTGTCAAACGAAATGATCTGAGAGGCATCTCATTAGTTTGCTAATGTTGTTCAGGTGCCTATGGCCCATGTCCTTGAATAATTGAAATGTCAAGTAGGGCTTTACAAACCATTGCTTGAGGTGGTGCATGAAGGTGATGCCACTTAATCTGTTAGGTAAGGTTCACAGAATGCCTCCAAAATTTGTCTCAGTCAAGGTATCCAGAAATGTATATGTAGTGACTTTAGAGAGACTTAACACCTTTCGGGTAAATAATTTTGATTAGGTTAGCAAATAAAATGATAATACTGAAACAAAATGTCACCCAAAACAGTCAAGTACCAGCTAATAAGTGATTAGCTAAAATTCAATAACTTAAAATTCAGGACATGTCACAGATCTCCTTAGGAGCCTAGCAAATTGGGTTTGATCCCAGTTTTCAGAGTTAAATTATCTCTCTATTTCCCTCACCAGGTGCTGCAAGGTCTGAGCTCTTCCCTGCCAGCTACTGACTCACTTGCTCTGGGTGATTAAGTATTTTCCCATCCTGCCTCTCCAGGCGCAGTGTATGAGTGGCAGCTTGACTGGTGCATAAAGAAGAGAAATGATGGTATTTCACCAGTCACTGCAAGCTTTTTTTTTTCCACTGTACTTTCCTCATTTGGACAAGCTAAGGAAGTGGACATGATTCAATTTAACAGCTCCTCAGCTGCTAAATGAAGCCCAGTTGACTATGCTAATGCTTTACATTTCCATAGTGATCTCCAGGCAAGCATTTCAAGCAATTTAGGAAAAATAATGAATGGACTTCCTTATCAGGCCAGTGTTACTATCACCATTTTTCAGCTGGGGAAAGAGGGAGAGTGAGGGAGGGGGGTGGACAGGGCACCTTGAGCCTGTCCCTCCTGTGACTGCAGAACGGCACAGGCTCCCCACGCTGGCGTGGCAAAGCTTCCAGATACAGCACACAGAAAGGAATGGTTTAGCCCATATTATCATCAAATGCCCTTCAGACTTTTCCTTTAGTCCAACTAGCCATTATCTAATTCAGGATTAAATTCTGTGCTCCTGGAGGAAAGGAGGAGTGTGTAGATCCTCCAGGGGAAGAGGCACCCAAGCACAGCATTCCACTTGCTTGCAGTAGTTTTAATGTTTTCATCTAAACGATGTAATCACTTCTAAAAGCTCAAATTAATTTATTTACAAGCAAACATAATCAGCTACAAAAGCAGCTTGTTCCATTGCCCAGCAACTGCCTTTAAGGGTCTTTATTATAAGTATTTAATGGCCTAGGATGAGCTCTAAAGACCTATATGTTTTCTTTTGCTTCTTCAAGCAAATACTCATTTTTTCCAGAGTGCCTTATGGGTTATGACAGCCAAGATAATGTACAAATGCTTCTTTCAGAAAAAGYCCCTTTAATAAAGGATTTACTTCCATGTCATTCTTGAAACATTTTTAGGGRTTCAATCTCTTTGAAGGACTTGGGGACTTCACAGATGAGCTCAGCTGTACAGGAGGGCCCAGCGAAACACCAGCTGAAACAGGACAGACTGGGAAAATACAGATCTGGTCACTCCCCTGGGAGCTTGGGGCCAGTGAAAATATCTGAGGTTGCCTAGAACTGTTCTAGAACAGCTGAGAAATATTCTATTTTTCCATGGAACACATACTGTACAGGTGACACAGATATTGCAGGAGGGCAAAGTAACTAAGAAAACCATCCCATTTCTCATGGCTTCATGAGAGAGGCAACCAAAAAATACAGCAAATAATGGGTTGTCGCAGTAGTTTCTCTGGTGGACATTTGTCCACTAACAGACAGCCTGAGATTGCAAACTTGTTTAACTGTTGCCACATGGGAAGCTTTCTTAGAGCTCTAACATTGTCCAGAAACAAACCATATTGGGTATGAAGAGGGTTGTCCTGACCTATCCTGCTTCTCAAGCACCAGTGTGATGCACATGGAGTGAAAGCAGAAAGGAAAAGCAACGTGGCCAGAAAGAAGCAGGTGAGGATAAGAAAAAAGGTGCCCAAGCCCTTCCAGGAGCCAGCAGTGCAGAGAGCTCAGGGCTCTCAAGGGTGTTTACCTGTTGCTGGCCAGCCTGGCCAGGAGGGGTTCCAGCCAGCCCTTGTGGCACTCGCAGTGGGAGTCCATGAAGATGAGCACGTCCCCAGTCGCCCGGGCGGCTCCCAGCATCCGGCCTCGGATCGCTCCRAGTCTCTTGTTGCTCCGGATCAGCTTCACACGATCCAGCTTAGAGATGTACTCGCTCAGGGCGGACTTCAGGGGCCCTGGTATAAACAGAGCAGTCACTGAGACACTTAAACTCGGATTCAAGGCTTCATAGAAACGCAACAGGTAACAGAAGCAGAACAAGTAGTAGATACCGGCTTTTTGGTAATAGATTTTGGGGGCATTCGCCTTACTTGGCTAAGCCAGCCTTGTCCCAGGTATTCCCACAGCAGCACAGTGTCAAAGAGAATTAGAGCCTAATGGAGATTGAGATTCACTAGGTGTGAAGGTATTCCTGTAGGAAACGGAATATCTTCCTCTCCTGTATTAAGCAAAAGGCCGAGACTCATAAAAGATGCAAATCACAGTGAGAAACTACAGGTGTTTGGCTCTCTCAAGTGCTTGGGATTACTTCAGCTATGAAGAGTTTTCCACTTTCTGCCTGAGTCAAACTCCAAATCTGGAAATTATTACAGCAGATCTGGTCCAGYGGAAAGGCTAAGATTTGCCTACTCTGATCTTATTTTAAAATAAGAACACTCAGAGTGATTGGAGGTGATGGGAAAAAAAGGAAACATTTCAAAGTTAAAAGGCTAAACTGCATCCTAGGGATGAAGGGTGAAATCTGGCAGCCAGATCATGTCTATACTTAGCTGTCTTCCTAAGGGTCCTCTTGGCTTTTTCCTCTCCACATGCACTTCACRGAGGAGGACAGTTTCCTCCCTGCAGCTTTGGAAAGCCGACCCCACATATAGAGAATTGAGGGCTACCTTGCTGACTGAGATCATCCACCAGGATGATATCCTTGAGGGCTGCCTTCGGGGCCGTGTCCATAACGCTGTGCACCGTTCGGAGCAGAGTAGACCAGGCTTCRTCATGGAAGCAGATGATGACACTCGCAGTGGGCAGGCTGGAGCCATAGTCCTGCTGCAGGCACCTGCATGGGATCAGGCAAAGACAACACTGGAATCACTTGTGCAACTGGGTACCTTTTTTACTGGTTACATTTCATCTCTAACAGCAAGAACTTGATGGAAATAAAGGAGCATTATAAAAAAAATTCCCTTACATCTAACTGTGTCATTTTGGTTTCAAGGTGTTTATTGGGCCAAGTTTGTCTCTGGTGCAACTCTGTGAAAACTAGTTGCATAAATTTGGCTCATCACTACTCCAACATCTTTGTGTACAGATTTTTTTTTTCCATACAGACTTTACAGCCATTATTGCTTAYTGTAATAAGAGTGGTTATTATTACAGTGGCCACTGGACTTGTTCAGCTGCAAGAGCAGTTGATGTCAGGGATATTATTTTCATTTAGGAAAAGGATACTCTCATGACTTTGGAAGTATATGTATTTTCAGGTAGAAATTATCTATAGATAATAAAGAAAAGTGAAGATCTGATGTAATCCTTTTGCAAACCAGACAGCTTCCAACGATAAACATTCAATAAAACCACTTACATTGCCYACCGTAAACCTGACAGTGTTTTGTTGCTAGAATTGTGGTTGCAGCAAGCAAGAAGATAAGGCTGTTTTGGAATCTTAATTGGAAAAGAATTGAAAATAACTGCCCTTGAAMAGGCTGCCGAGGTGGCGAGCGCTTAGTTGCCATGGAGATTGGCAAGGGCTTGCAATAGGGATCTCTGATCTACAGGGGGATGAGGAAGGCTGTTGGTGCAGGGAATACCAGTCCTCGCTACAATTTGGAGTGGTCTCACACACTGTCCATCATAAATTAGCATTTCAGAAAGTCAGGGCTGTGGCTGATACAAGAAATATCAGTCTAATTCAATTTGTGAAGAGTAGGGAATTGTCATAAGCAGCAATGGAAGGAGGAGCGATTCTGACCAGGCAAAATCACTACTGCCAGGACTCCTACTCGTCTCCAAGAAAATGCCTCATTGACTCAAATCCCAACATTGCTCAAGGGGAAGCTGTGATTTTGCGATGAAATTTAAGCCCTTTTTAGATACTTTGTGTATCTGCATTTGCTAAATACATATTGTGTGACACAAGTCTAAGACAGAAAAAAAGCAGAGCTTCTTTTCAGACAGAGCCCTGTCCTTAAAATCGCGCTGTCCACTGTCCCAAGAAGGTGCTGATGGCAGCAGTGCAAGCTGATAGCAACAGAAACACCCTGTGAGAGAAAGGATGAGTGACCTCAAAGGATGAGTCTTGATGTGGAAAATCAACTTTCTGGTACATTTGGACAAGTTGTTAAGCCTTTCTCCTGGAGATCTTGCCTGTGTGAGAACTGCTACCAGGATAAATGGGGCAAAACAAGTATCTGACTTACTACTGGGATACGCTTTACTGCAAGATGTTGGAACATGCACGGTTTTATGCATCTGCTTTCTGAAAACTAGCACAAAATAGAGACATGTAAAGGATGTGGACTATGTTAAAAGCTGCAATCTGCTGAGGCAGGTCTAAATCATCCCTTTCCAGGATTAGAGGAAGGATCCTGGGCTTTCAAGGCAGTTCACAGCCTCTCGTTTATTTCTACCAGAACTCTGTAATCTTCACCTAAGAAGAAACTGTATCAGTGATGCTCATTGCTTCAGCACAAAGCACAACAGAGCTCTCCACAYGAATGTCTAAGGAACAGCAGCTAGGTATATCTCATAGCCTGTACCTGATGTCTTCAACTCTGGTTTATTAGCAAATGAAATGTGCAAGTGAACAGCTTGGCCAGCATCGTTCTGCGGTTCCTGGCAGTGCTTCACTGTTCGTAGATACAGCTTCTGGCCTTGATAATTTACTATCTTATTTCAAGTGCAATAAAACAGAGGGCACCTATAGACCTAGAACRGGCTCACTGTGAAACTTCCAACCGGTTTAGCCTATTTAGCCATTCTTATGAATAATGTGATTCTAATAGAATAGAATAATACACATGACACCGATTCATTACTGTTCCACAGTGATCRAACAACAGTGTTATAACCCAGACTGATACCGCTGTAAACTAGGCTGACAGCGTAAATTGCATCCAAAAATATATGTTGTGAACCCTGCTGCAATAGAGCAAAAAACTGGCGCAGGCTCCCACTGCCTCCGCTGCGGGTTTATGATCCGGATTTAGATGGATCAGCTGCAAAGCCTCAGACGTTCAGACCTGCGCTTTCCATCTGGGCTTGTGCAGCATCGGCRGCTCGTTAGGCCGTGTTTAGTCAGAGAGCAAACCCCATCCAAGAGCTTTGAGACCGTGCTTTAAATCTGACCGGTATTAGTATTAACTAAAACTAGCTCTTGTTGGATGGATGGTTCTTCATATGCCAAAGGAAACCTGTTTTTTGGCTCACACCACAGGCAGCGGCACGAGGTCATCACTCCTCCTTTGAACATTACCTAGTTCCAAGAACAGCTGAAGAATTTGGAGTGAAAAAGAACTGAAACAAAGCGAGCATATCATTACTGAATGAAACCGCGCCAATTAGCCCCAAATCTCCTCAGCAAATATCGAAAACACTCCCTAACTCTCCTAATCGCCCTTTCCCTGAGGTTGTCCCCTTAGAACCACCAGGTCTCGCGCGGGCTGTCYGGGAACTCGCACTGCTGTCCCCCGTTAACAGCCAGGGGCTGTTTCCTATGTGTTTTTAGGATTTTCCTGGGGATTTAGCTTCGACCAAGGCGCCCCGGGGCGGGAGCGCCGCCCGCGGGCCCGGGCCCGCGCCGCCAGGGGGCGCTGCCGCCCGGCGCGGGC